AGCATTTGGAAAAAAAAAAAATATTTATCTGAGATAAAGATATATTATTAATTAAAATTTATTTGATTAAGGTTGGTAATAATATATATAAAGTGCTAGTGCCTCTAAGTTTTATTTAAAGTGTTTCGTCAGATAAATCTATATAAATATTTCAAAATCTGGAGAAAATAAAAACTTACATGTCTCATATAAAGAAAATTCACCATTTTGCTAAAGAGAAGAGATAAAAACGTTCAAATTTAGAGGCACTTATTATATAGTAGTAATCAATTTACGCATGAACTTTTAGATAAAATCAGGTCCAAGTCTATTAAATGGCAAACAGATCATAAAGCACTAACATATGATAATAATTAAAAAACATAATAAACATGTGTTTCAGTATGATATATATGATGTTATTTACCAATTTTTAATAAGCAACTATGATATATAAACGATTTTCCTTTATACACGATTTCTGTTATCACAGTATATCAATTGTCATATTTAAAATTAATAGATCAAGCGAACAGATCAAAATCATGAAATGTGTTTGCGGAGATATGACAAAAAGTAATAAGATATGACCGCCTTCTTCCATTTTATTTAACAAAAAAAAAATAATAGCAAGATTTCGGTAATAAACAAAAATGTATTTTTATTAAAATAAATTAGTATTTAGTTTTATTAAGGTTGTTTTCGTAAATTAATATTTGTTAAAGTGTAGATTTCAAAATAAAATAAAAAGAGTGTATTTTTCAAATATAAAAACACAAAAGAGGTATTTTTTCAAATTTTCACTAATTATTATAGGATTTAATTATTACAAAAAATTGAGAAAATTTGTGGGATTGACACCTAAGCAAAAGTAGTTTAGAATGTTTCTCCTTTAATATATAGATGATATATTTTATATACTATTGAAAAAGGGAAAAGCTTGTGGGTGAATGAGAGAATGTCTTTTATTTTGTTTTTCATTTCGAGAGAATCTTATAATCATATGCGATTTTTGGTTAGAAAATGGTAGTTTATTACCTGTATCACTACCGCAACCTTATCTTGAATCTCAACGAGATTTTCAGGAGTAAAAGATACCACGTCCACCAATGTCACGACGAACTGTGTCTGCCTAGGGATCTCTCCACCTAATTCACATGTTTTGCTAATCCATTCCACAAAAAAAGTAGCCATAATATACCTATTACGCATATAGACCAGCGTCTGATCCAAATGACCCACCATCTTGACTACATAAAATGAAAAGGAAACCCTTTGTAATCTTGTTCTTATTTGTTCTTCCCAAACTTTCACTATGAATGATGCGTCAGAACCTAAATCTCCAACTGTCACAGCCACAACATGAGGTTGAAAATATCAAGAGTGAAGCACCGATGATCGTCTTGGAGATTCAAATGTTGAATTAAGAACCAACAAAGAAGCCGATCTGTGGAAACACTAAGGGTCAAAATGGTTAGTGATGTGAAACAACCTAAAATAAGAAAGTGTTATGAAATCAAATACCTTTTTAAGATGATAGAAATGATAAACCTCATCTCTTGAGCATTTGTTTTCTCAGAGTGTGACAAAAACATAACATTGTTAGTAGAAGAAAAAAACGTGTAGTAATTCCTAAATCTTTGATTGATATCTAAGATACCAAAATCAAACCCTGTGAAACAAGGATGATCATTCAATGCTGACCAGGAAAAGGTCCAAAACTATTCCGAAACTAAATCAAAACCAGTGAAACAAAGATGACCATTGATAAATCTTCAATATCAAAAATTCCTAAATCAAATTCCAACCATTAGTAAATATTTCCTAAATCAAATTACTGACTCTATCGTAGATTGTATAGATGTCAGATACATGAGATTCAGTGTATGGACAAACTTTTCAAAATGGTGACAGAATTGAACTGAAGGTGCACCATAATCCACCTCATTTAACTTAGTTTCACTATGCACCAACCATACTTTAAATTGTTTCTATCAAAACACATATTAGTGTTTTGAATAGGGAAAAAAGCAAACCTTGGTCACAATCATTCGCAAAAGAAGAAACTGAAACCTTGTGTTGTCTCCAAACATACCAAAAACATGTTTCTTAGTGTTAATTATGAACATGAAATGTTATAAGGATTTGTAAGGGATTTTAGCTAAAAATGTAATTAGGAAATCATAAATTTTTGCAAAAAAAGAAAGGAAATTTAATATATGGATGAGTTTAAATTAAGACGCTACGGTATTATTTATTTTTCGGATAAAATTAATATATGTTGATCATTCTGATATATGTTACAAAGATACAATCATCATGAAAATGTGTTATAAATTCAAACTCATGTTTTTTTGCATTAATCGCCACAAGCAATTAAATGTACACTACAATTTTACACTGGC